CTCCAGTAAGAGAAACAATGAAATGATGTCATGCTTTAAAAAAAAAAAAATCATTATTATAATGTGTCAAGCCACTACCTCCTTCCCTCTCTTTCTCTCCCCCCCCCCCCCCCCCCCCCCTCTCTCTCTCTCTCCCTTTCTTTCTCCCCTCCCTATGCACCGACCACCCCTCCATCCCTCTTTCGCCCTCTCTTCATCTTTGTAGTTTCTTAGTCGAGTGATTTAAGCACTTGACTTGAAACTCAAAGGTCGTGGTTCGATTCCCGACACGGCATTAATGTCCTTTGGCAAGGCATATAATCTCCATTTGCCACACTCGACCCAGATGAGATAAATGGGAACCTATCGGAATTAATTCTTTGAAACACTAGAGCGCCGTAATGGCAGCTAATCTTCATTTGCCACACTCGACCCATGTGAGGTAAATCGGTATTTGGCATATATAGGAATTAATTCCTTGAAATACTGGAGCACCGTAATGGCAGCTAGGCTAAAGCAAGTGTAATAATTAGTGCGCCTCGGAAGAGAGTATTATTGTCACTCTTTCAGTCTTTATCTGACTCTGAGTAATAGAAACAATACAATGACGTCATGCATTTGATCATCATTATAATGGGTCTTGCCACTACAACTCTCCTCTTCTCTCTCTATCTCTCTCTCTCTCTCTCTCTCTGTCCGTCTGTCTCTCTCTCTCTCTCTTTCTCTCTCTCTCTCTCTCTGTCCGTCTCTCTCTCTCTGTCCGTCTCTTTCTCTCTCTCTCTCTCTCTCTCTCTCTCTCTCGCTTGCTCTCTCCCTCCTCTCCTCCTCCTCTTTCATTCATGAAAACAAAAATAACTGTATGAAATACCATTGTTATTTGCGATGGTAAGCAAAGTCTCTGTAGGCATTGATTATTATAACTGTAGTTTTGTTCATGTCTTTGCATCTACTTTTAGTATTATTATTTTCACTATCAATTGTATTATTGTTTTCGTCATCATCATCATCATTATCTATTTTTTTTTGAATATTTCACATTCTACCCAAATAATCACTTTTGTCTACTTTCTTAAAATTGAGCAATTGTTGTTTTTAAATAATCTTTTCAGCATGCTCATCCCCTCCGGTGGATTGTGAATTTGGCGGGTCGTTCTACAATTTCAGCACTTCGGAGATGAATCATTCTTCTGCGGTTTCAGCATGTTTCCAATACGGATCCCATCTGGTCTTCATCGAGTCGCAAGAGGAACAGCGCTTCATCGCGGGACTTGCTAGTGAGGACCATTGGATCGGGCTGACCAGACGTGGCCTTCAGACCCCAAAGTGGCTAGACGGATCAATGCTTACATATAACAATCTTAACCAATATTCGTTTAACGATAATGCAAAATGTTTTCGAATTTGGTTTCATGTAGAAAAATGGCCAGAGAGGAACGGATTTAGTTGGTCAGAGAATCGATATAGCTGGCAAGATTGGGATTGCTCCAAACAATTGAGATTCATATGCGAGAAAAGAGTGGGGATATAAAAATTGGATTTGTTTATTTCAATTTTTCATATCACCTGGTTGCACCACTGATTGCATCTGAACACCTAAATGGGGATTGGTTGGGGGCAAGGGAATACCCCACCCACCCCCCCCCCCCCCAAAAAAAAAAAAAAAAAATATATAAGATGTTGTTCGTGTTTTTATCATTGTGTGTATAAGTCTATTAGAGCTTTTATAGCATTGTTCGAGTTTGTGTTTTGTTGTCGTTCCATGCACTAATTTGCACCCGAAGAGCACTGAAACATTGTTAGGTGCACTTTACATCTTTACATTCGAGCAATTTAAAAATAATCATATGGATGATTATCATTAGTGGAGGGTTTTTTTTTGTGTGTTTTATAGAATCTCGTTCTTAATGCCAAGAGACTTTGTTCAACTTCATCGTATACTAATAGTTAGTGCTTCATAAAATGAGGAAACGTCAAAGATATTTGATTATGACATAAAAGTGCAGTTTGTGTGGCAAAGTATTTATAACGTCTATGATACAAATATACGAACCTGTATACACATACTTACTTAAGCATGTACATGTAAATACAAATACACATGTAGGCTACATATACATATACATATACATATCCATATACATAGGAATATACATATATGTATGTGGTCTCGTGTAATGAGCTTATACTTCAGATACGAATGGAGCTAGTGAATAACGAAAACAAAAAAAATGTAACGTCAATTTGTCAGAATACACGGCAACTTACATGTATGACATTATTTACTTGTTTTAAGTTTCAAGTTTATCTCATTTTATATTTCACTATCATTACCTTTAAAATAAATCGAATAAAATGAATAAATGCATTCCTTCATTGAAAACTATACATGACATCATGTCATATAAGTAATTCAAGACAAGGCAAAAGATTTTTAAAAAGACAAAAGTCAATATTATATTTCCTAAACTCAAGGTATAATGAATACGGTTGTAACGTGAAATATGAGATAATTTAAAGTAAG